GTCATATGGGTGCCGAGAACAGAGCATAAGAAGGTTTGTTTACAAAAGCTTGTATGCCCTTTTCACATGTTGTTCATGATATTCGCAAATTTCAAATTGATCTGCCAACAGCTGGTTTGCGGTTTAAAGAAAAGTGGTCCCCTATTGTTTGGTCTCTGTCTTCGGGTTGTGAGGAACAATCCGGATATCGAACGGAAAACACTTTTAGTTTTAATGAACTTTATTTCGGTGTTACCACGCTTCTAGATTTGCTCAGACTAACCAATCGAGCCAAAAAGGAGGGAAAACCTAATGACACTAGCTGTCAGAAATGGTACATAGGGATGGTGTGTTATAATTCAAATTATAGGGGTGTACATTTTTCTCTTTACAAGTTTACAGCTCGGCCATCCTGCACTACTCATCTGAAATAAAGGAACAATTATTCGTCGTTAGTTTCTTCTAGATATTGTACATCCTCGTATTCAATATCGTCGTTCAGATACTCTACATCCTGATATACAAGTCCTAACTCATCCTCGCTAAATTTTGCTTGACAACTACCTTTCTGATAGAGACGCATATTTAACGGATCGAATATTCCTTCAAATCGTTTTCCCGAAACTTGGAATCCGTCCAGATCACCCACGACATATCGATTCTTATCTAGCACTTTTCTCACGATGTACGGTCCTCGGAACTTTGGTCTTAATTTATTTCTCTCACCCACAATATTCACTCTTCGCAGCATAACTAAATCACCTTCATCATAGCTAGTATTTCTTGTGCAGTGTCGGTCGTAGGCCTGTTTGTTATACTGTTGCTGTCGCTTCATTTGCTCACCAGCTGCTTCTCTCATTGACTGTAAGTTTCTATCGTCCTGGATAACTAGGTCTCGAAGATATTCAGTTACATCGTAATCAATATGCCTTCTCTGATCTACCCCAAACAATAGACTGGATGGTGAACAACCGGTTGCTCGATTTAATGTATTGTTTAACAGGAACTCCGCATCCGTAAGTACAGTGTCCCAACTTGAACCAGTTTCCTCGACCAGTTTACTCAATAGCGGCATCATAGTCCTATTGTATCTTTCTACTTGCCCATTCGCTTTCGGGCACGCCGTGGCCACCTTAACATGCTTGATTCCATGATCATTAACTAATTTGTCGAATGCCGCAGATGTAAAAGCTGTTCCTCTATCCGACACTAATACTTTTGGAGTCGAATAAGCATGAAAGTAGCTTCTTAAAGACTTCATAACCTCCGTAGTTTTCGTCGTCTTGGTTGGATACAACTTGATGAATTTAGTAAAAGCATCCACGACCGCCAGGATATATTCGTTCTTTCCCCTACTTTTGTCGAGTGGGCCAAGGTGGTCGACATGTACTACCTCAAAAGGAACTTTCGGTTTTTCGACGGTAGTAAGGTTTCCATCGAATCGTTTATTCCGGGGATTATACGCAATACAACTAATGCATTGTTTGCAATGATCTAGAATTTTCTCACGCATTTTTGGGAACCAATACGTTCGTTTGATCAAACCACAAACCTTGTCGACTCCAAAATGACCCATTTCATTATGGAATTTGTTGATTACCGATGAAACCATATGCGTAGGAACATAGAGCAAAGAATTATCACCGACTACTTTATACAGAATTGCATCACGAACCTCATAATCTTTCAGTGATCCTAACTCCACAGCTTGTTTGATCTTGATAATTTCAGGATCCTTCAATTGTGAGACGTATAGTGCATTCTCGAAAAGACTGGATGGACAACGGTCTTCTTCTTCTATAAGGTGCACGTTTATTCTAGACAAAGCGTCCGCATGCTGCATTTTTGTTCCCGATCGGTGTACAATTTCGAAGTCGAACTGCTCCAGGTGCATAGCCCATCGAGCGATTTTAGCGTTCACGTCCTTTTTCTGTAATGTGTGCTTCAACGAGTTGCAATCGGTAACTACCTTGAAATGAAGTCCAAACAAATACGTTCGAAATCTTTGTAGGCAATAGATTATTGCAAGAGTCTCCAATTCAAAACTGTGCAATCTGGATTCTGCGGGAGTGGTCTTTCTGCTATGGTACATAACGGGATGCAACAACCCGTCATCCGATTGTCGTTGCAGTAGAACACCACCATAACCAGATGAAGAAGCGTCAGTGTGTAATTCCGTTTCCGCGGTTGGGGAATATATTCTAAGTACCGGTTTGGAGATCAGGGCCAGCTTCAACGTTTCAACAGCCTTGACATGATCAGCCGTTAACCTGAACTCTTGGTCCTCCTTGAGTAACTCGTATAATCGACCGGCCTGAACGTTAAATCCGTTAATAAACTTCCTGAAGTAGTTGATAAGCCCAAGGAATCTTTGAAGACTTTTCCGGTCGGTAGGAATAGGGAAATCTCGTACCGATTGAATATGTCGATCACTGGGCTGTATACGATTGAATTCTACATGATAGCCCAAGTATTCTACACGTGTCTTAAGGAATTGGCATTTCGACAACTGCAATTCTAAACGATTGTCCGCTAGAGTCTCGAGAACCTCTTTCAACGTTTGAAAATGTTCCTCGATGGTCTCGGATGCTATCAGCATATCATCGATAAAAACTGTTAATCTTCCATCACGAATGAACGGAGCTAGGACTTTTGTGATAAATTTCACGAAAATAGCAGGGGAATTAGAGAACCCAAAAGGCAAACGGTTAAATTCGTATTGTCCACTGGCGGTCACAAATGAGGTATATTTTTTGCTTTCCTCCTCCAGTTCGACATGATAAAACCCATTTTTTAGATCCAACGAAGTAAAATAGCGTTTACCTTGAAGCCGCATTACTTGATCTTCAATAATCGGCATCGGAAAATGGTTTCGCTCTGTAATTTTGTTCAATGGCTTGTAGTTAACACACATTCTGTAACTGTTATTTTTCTTCTTCGTCAGAACCACTCGGGAAGTATATGGTGATTCGCTTTCCCGTATAATCCCTTGCCCAAGCAAATCCTCTACAATTTTATCCAACTCCTTTCTTTCGAATACACTGAGACGCTGTGGGGTAGCAGTGAAAAGCCTGTTTTCTTTCAGCCGTATCTCCGCTTTATACGACACTAGAGGAATAGCTGGACGTTGCCTTTCAAAATAACATTGAATTAACAATGATTCCAACTCGTTTTGATAACGTCGAGTAAATTCGTCATCTCCTACATCCAAGCTACTATGTCGGTTCGCAGTTAACACACAGGTATTTTCAATCTCCCCGAACATGGACCAGTCACAGGAATCAGCACCACTAGAATTCCTTACGGGAAACGTGATACACTGTATGCGGTTCTCAATCAAAAAGTCTCTACCGAGGATTACATCTACCTTCATTGTATCGTCTGACACGACCAGAAAACGCGCATTATACTTTTTGCTTCCAACAAAAACAGAAGCAACAAATTCTCCTAGCACTTTTACTTTCGAGTTATTAATTCCAATAACTTCCTCGCTAGTGCCTTGAAGAGGCGTTATTCCGTGTACATGTTTATATTTTATAAGATTGGCATAGCTACCTGAGTCAACCAAAGCAAGGGTATGGATACGACCCTGGACCCTATCGATATCTACTTCCACCTGCGATGACGGATCGACGGCAATACCCTCTGCATCTTCACTGTTGAAGACGGCGTTGGTAGTACTCCATTTCACGCCTCTGGATCCTGTTATAATCGCCTCCTTCGGGTGCGCCGTCTTCGGAAACATACACTTTTCGGCTGTATGTCCGACTTTCAGACACTTGCTGCATCGTTCTCTGCGCGGTGGTTTTGGGCAATCAACCGATTTATGCCCCTGCTCTCGACAGTTGAAACACGTAAGAACGTTTCCCGAAGAATTCATCGCTGAGTCCGGCATTCCGGGCATTTTTGTCATCCGCAGCGCACTGGGAGCCGCAGGCACCATGTCCAAGTTTGCCGCAACCCATTTGATGTGTCGTAGCAGCTCCAACGTCGACGTATACTGCCTTGACAGCAGGCTTAAGTATACCTTATCATGCCGCAATCCTTTGATTATATACTTCAACGTAGCGGATGTGCTGAAGTCACCTTTTTGTGCCAGAGCGTCGACACGATACACGAATGATTCATATGATTCTCCTTTTTCCATTTTCGTTGCTTCCAGCTGACGGTGAATATCGGCTTCATCGTACGTTTCCGGAAAGGCTACAATGAGTTGCTCCTTAAGCTGCATCCAACTGAATATGTTTTCTTCTTGTCGCCGATACCAACTCGCTGCTGCACCCGTAAGACGGGTCGATCCGTATAATAAACACATCTGCTCTGACCAACCATAAATGACACGAAAGTGGTCGATGCGCCGTAGCCATTTTGAAACCCCATCTCCTTCTGAAAACTCAGGGATTAGTCTTCCCAGATCTTGCGGGTGAGGAGCAAAACCAGGTGTTTGTTGTACATAAACAACGTTGCTATGCTGTGTCGTTCCGCTGACTTTCTTTTTCGGCACTTTTTCCTCGGCTGCGTGTTTCACATCAAAAAACTCATTCTCCTCACTATCCTCGTCTGATTCACCATCCTTCATTGCTTGCTTAGCGGCCATGTTCCTCGTAATCGGCATCGTCTTGGAAGCAGACCAGAAAATCGTCTCCACGAACGTCGGAGCTCGTCACCCGTTAGTTCCAAATAACGCTAAGACTTCCGGGTGTATCCCACTTCTGAAACTGTGAGGAACAATCCGGATATCGAACGGAAAACACTTTTAGTTTTAATGAACTTTATTTCGGTGTTACCACGCTTCTAGATTTGCTCAGACTAACCAATCGAGCCAAAAAGGAGGGAAAACCTAATGACACTAGCTGTCAGAAATGGTACATAGGGATGGTGTGTTATAATTCAAATTATAGGGGTGTACATTTTTCTCTTTACAAGTTTACAGGGTGGTACAAGTCTTAGATTATTGTACGGAGTGATGTAGACGTAGGTAGCAATTTGAGATTAATTCCTTTTTTTGCATTTCCCATCAGATAAGCATCATGCTAATTCTGGGTAGCGTACAGATCCCTCCCACCGAGGCCACCGTTGTGCGATTATTCACCGAGCTGCTCCAGAACAACGTTGCCGGCATTCCACTGATCCACAAAACCGAAGAGTTTGATTTCGACCCGGAGGTTAGCAAAAAGCGACGAGATTTGTACTATGAGGTAAGTTGGTCAATAGTTCGATAGATAGTTAGATGTTTCCACGAATTAGTTAATCGATCGCTACTACGATCCTTGGTTAATTTCCCGCCTTCATTAATAGCTACACGATGGGAGGTACCTTGAATTTGTCACACCGTAAACCATAGTTAGAAGACTGGTTGGAATGCAACCAATAGTGACTAGATGCTTTGATGCTGTTCAAACGAGCCATTACTCCGGCTTGTGTTTAATGGATTTTAGCATATGGTTGATGCACAAGCTTTTCGGTGTTTCGTTTGGTGGCTTTTCGAATGTACTCGGTTTGCTTTGGCTCGGTTTTTGGAAGGTCAAATCATGAAACCGTAACCAGCTCATTGGTAAATCTCATCGATCAATTGAGTTTGCAAATGTGATAGGCAAACATGACAGATCAGTAGTAAGCTGGTTTAGAGTGAGTTCAATATTGACTTTAACATTTTTATCGATATTGTTAAAATTTACCGTAAATAGCTGCAACTGTTTATGCTCGAAATTGAACCATGCCACCTTGCTTAAGCTCAAGTTCAATGATACTTCGGGTGACGTGTGACGTCTTTTTTATCTTGTTTAATGTGAGTTTTAGCCACCTCTGGGCTAGTTCATCACCATGACGTGTGACGTCGTTTTGCTCTCACCTTCATCGCACTAGCTGCAGACCAGTTTCGTCAATTTGTCTTTCCTTACTTCTCGTTTGGTTTATTTTTGGCACCTGGCACTCATCTGGGCTGAGACGCTGCGCTGCGAGTCACGTTCAATGGCAAGGTTGTAACTGTCCAAAAATATTCCAAGATACATATCTAGCGTTCAGAATCATAAGGGCCTAACTGCGACGATCGATTCTCGTAATCGATTTTCTCCTCGCATTAAAGATATGTTAATCTACTTTTAGGAGAAAATCGATGACAAGATTCGATCATCGCAGTTAGGCCCTTATGATTCTGAACGCTAGATATGTTTTTTTGCCGCCCAATTCACTAGTCGATGCGGAACATTCGTTTTCATGCATCGGCGGTGATTGATTTCCGAGATGGAATAAGAAGTAGGAGATTTTTCTATTTTGTTCCGCTGATCCAATTTGTTTTCTCTTTCAGCAACATGGATATCGAGGTGAGAAAGCCATCGAACGGCTGGGCTTAGGAATCGACGGTAATCATCGGGAACGGGAAGCCTACCAGCGACTGCGGGACGAAGGCCATCTGAATGGGTTGAATGATCACCAGCCTTGAGTGCGGTTGTCGTCGTCGTCGTGTGAATAAGTGAGATTGCGATTGAATGCGTGTGTGATTTGATTCTGGTTGTCCAACGCTACCAGCGCAGTTGACTTGTGTACTTGTTATATAGCGAAATGCTTGAGATGGTAAGCAGCTACCTACAGTAATCCTTCCATTTATGCAGTGGGTTGTACCGTCCACTCACCGCTTTTGGTCGGCTTTCCGTCAATCAATTGAGCTGATTTTCTGTAGATAACTAGTTTATGGTTGACACTAATCAGCGAAATTCGTTGAAGGTCAGACGAGAAAATGTGATGGGTGGACTGTACCACCCATCGCATAAATGGAGGGATTACTGTATCAAAATGTCAAGCTGCAGTTTACGATGTGTAGCTGGGAGGAGTAATGAAGCTGAACATGAGGTGATTAGCTTAATTTTGTCAGAGTGCTATTACCAAAACCGGTTTTGGTAGCAGTTACAATGTGACAAGGGTAATGGAGCATGTGCAATACGTAGTCCAGTGACTTGATTTTATTTACCAATAGCTTAGAACGAAACAAATTTTAATAAAGTTGAAAAGGAGTGTTTTTTGTTCACAGATATCACAGTCTTGACCTGTTTAGATGGGCGATATTTTTGAGCGCGTGTGATCATACAAGTTTCTAGGGGAATATATTGAAATAGATTTCCCCTTCGTAATTCGTGCTTATAACGAACGTTTCTGCATAGACCGTCCCCAAAATTATGAATGAAAAGCTATGGAAAAGATCACTGATTAACTCCAGGGTGTCGTGACCGGACCGAGGTATCCAGCCTCGCTCACGGCTACACGAATTCGCAATCCTGCTTTCTCGGCTGCTCTGCTTGACTGTTGTGCTGCTATTAGTGCTGCTGCTCCTGCTGTTGCTTGTCCGTCGCCTTCAAAATTCGTCACAAGAATCTAATAATCACCCATATTCTCGTTTTCGTTCGAACCGTATTTTCCATACAAAAAGAAGAAGTTTTTTTTAATGGAAAATACGAACGAAAACAAGAATATGGATGAATATATAATAAGAATTACCATTACCGGATGGATGAAAAAGTACACTGAAAATTTTTTGAAAAATAATTACCATGATCTGATGGATGATAAGGTATGCAAAAAATAGTCATGACCTGACAAGGGGCAAGAAAATTGTACTTATATTGTAAATATATTTGCAGCGAGTAATTTTTCAACAAATGAAGTTCTGGAAACAACCTCTGTCAGGCAGAATGATTAGTTTCATGCTTTAAAAGATCCAAGTAAGATTGTTCGTGCCCATTCCAGCGGTTACCAAGGGCTCTTCTGATTTCTTGGGATCGATGGCTAAAATGTAATGTATCGAAGTTTTTTTTTTGTGGTGTGGTTGTGTGATTTCAAGCCAAGAATTTGGCTAAATTTTCCGAGAGGATTATTTTTGGCTCATGAAAATTAATGCTCAATCTCAAAATATCGGTCAAAGAGGCTTCTCATTTTGCTGAATTACATGCCTGAAATGAGGAAATTCGACATTAATAATAATTATTAATGAACAGCAACATTATATATACAAACTTCCATAACGGAAGAGGGATGTAAATCCCTTAGAATATTTAGCTGAAAAAGTCAAAATAATGGTAAACTGTCACCAGAAACATTTAGCACAAAAAGAACATTGTGGAATGCAGTTTTTTATTTAGCTGATCATCCCAGGTCAAAAATGGTTAGCTCTAGCCAACTTCATAATTAATTTTGAACCTTACATGAAGTTTATCAATGAGCGATCGTCGAAAGCATCAAGAACCACCACGACTCATTTTTTTTTCAAACTGCGATTATCCAGAATCCCTCTTTGGATTGACTGGAATGCTCCCTATGATTGTCCGGAATCCGTTCTGGGATTGTCCGGAATCCCTTGTGGGATTGTCATGAATCCCTCTCAATATTAAATTAAATCCTCCCTGGGTAGTCCATAATCCCTCTTTGGATTGTCCGAAATCCCCCATCATATTGCTGGGAAGCCGTACTGGGATTGTCTGGATCCCCCCTTGGCTTGTTACCTTCTGAGGCTGTCATAAAACCTCCTTGCGATTGTTTGGAATCCACCCAGGGATTGTATGGAATCCTCCCTAGGTTTGTCCAGAATCTCCCCTGGGACTGTTATGAATCCTCCTTGGGAGTGTCCATCAGAATCCGGACTGTGCGGTTGCTAATTTTTGCAGTACTCGAACGTCATCTGCATGGCAGTAAAGCAAAACATCTCTGGCTGTTCCGTATGGTCATCATGAAAATCTTCCATCGATTTTGAGGGGGTAGCGGCAGCTTGTAGTTGCTTTCGTACGCGTGCTATACAAAAGTGGTTAAGCAATACGTAAAATTTACTTTGCTTGACAGTATCGGTTTAGACTATTAGGTTGCTATGTGTATATGATTCTAAGCAACGCGAGTAGCTCAGAGTTACACAAAATTAGCTCCGATTTTGCTCATGATCAAAAGCTGTCTCGCCCCAAGTGACCTGATGAATGACTAAAAATTCTTGGAAATTTCCGGAGTGAGAGGTCTCCGATAGATGGTAGGAGCGAGAGGTCTCCTAGTCAAAAATTAAAATAAATAAATCCTTACCAGCATTGGTTGGAAATCCTACAGTAATATCAACATGAAGCTTTAGGGTGATAATTTCTTAATTATAGGAAAAGTTTCGAAGAGGATAAGTTGATAATTCCGCTAGAGTACGGCAGTGTGAAAATTGAATAGAAGTTGAAATTGAGTGAAGGGCCATTTCTCTAGCGGAACTATCAACCTATCTTCTTCGGAACTTTTTCTAGTTAATAAATTATCACACTAAAGCTTCATGTTGATATTGTTAAAGTCTGGAACGCGTAAAAATTGGTCAACTTCGAATTGGTGTATTTCTGTTAAAAATACATTTAAAAAAACCTGAAATGCTGCATTTGAAAGTTGAGTGTATATACAATGGTTACTATGATGAGTTTTCACCGTTTGCTCTCCAGCTTTCAAAATGATGTCCAAGCTAGAGGAGCAGCGTGTCAAAATTTTGCTCGCAGAGCAAGAGAATCCGACGTTCTCACATGCCAAGTTGGCAAAATTGCTGGATGTGGCCAAATCGACTGTGACAAACGTTTTAAAAGTGTTCGGGGAGCGTCTGTCGACCGGCAGGAAGCATGGAAGCGACGTCAATCGTAATCCGGACGTGGCAGCGACGACGAAGAAGGTTGTAGAGGTTTTCCGTCAAAACAATTAAGAATAACTCGTTATCGTTTCTAGATTAAAATCTTCTTTTATTCTGCGCACTCCATCATCTCCACTCCCGTTCACTCGCCCGTCCTTTCTACCTCTCCCCCAATCCACCACACCCACATTCATTCCCCCGTTCAGCCCGATCCAAGGTTGTAGATGTTGTTCAGGTGTGCTCCATTACAGCTTGTAATTGTATGCGTTGTTAAAGGCGCGTTCCTACATCCCCCTTAAAATATCCTGATCTAATACGGCACATAACTACGGAACCACGATGGTTCCTGGCGTTGTCGTTTACTCCCACATTCATTTGCACCTTGTGTGTCACCCGGTGTGTCAACAGAACTAGTAATGCCAGAAGCACTGGCTCCTTCCGATGCGTCTGCCGTTGGTGTTCCGTCCGATGCATTGTCGCTGCCAATCCTCTTGTCGGTTCCTTCGAGGATCTTCTTCAGGTGAGCAGTATTTCTCCTGTACTCCTTCCCGGACACGGTAGATTTTATTTTTGCATCAGACCCAGTTTTTGTGAGCACAACAAATTCTTCATTGACAAAATCGGTGCTTAGCTTGTTGTTTCTCTTAAATCTTTTCATCAGCACCCGGTCTCCAACTAACACCTCACTTTCTCGTGCTTGTCTGCGGTTGTCGCTGTATTCCTTCCCTTTCTCCTTTATCATAGAATCGTGATCCCTTACCTCCTCATCGTCACAGGTAGGCGTGATGTGTGGAAGTTTAGTTCGTATTCTCCTTCCAAATAGTAGCTCTGCTGGCGAACGTCCAGTCGTAGAGTGAGAAGCAGCACGGTACATCAGAAGGAATTTCTGAAGTTCTTTGCGCCAATCCTGACCCAATTCTTGAGCGATCTTTAGACGCTTTAGTATTGTTCTGTTCTGGCGTTCCACTTCTCCGTTCATTTGGGGCCAGTAAGGCACTGTATTGATTAGTAGAATACCATAGTCTTTGCAAAATTTGGAAAACGTTTCGCATTCTTCACTTAGTGGTGGTGCGTTGTCAGCAGTCAGTGTAACCGGTATTCCGTGGCGACTGAAAATCGTTATCAACTCAGCGATTGTATCCTCAGCCGTGATCGTGGTCATTTCACACACTTCGTAGTACCTACTGTAGTAATCGACTACAACCAATAGGTATTGTCCTTCTGGTAATGGTCCTAAAAAATCAATCGCTACGTCCTCCCACGGTCTAGCAGGTAAGCTTCGCCGGCTCATTGGTTCAGGAGCGTCTGGAGCTGACACGAGTAAGCACCCTCTGCAGCGTTTAACATACGAGTCAACATCGGAGTCTATCTTGGGCCACCACACCGAAGACCGAAGATGACTTTTCATCATCCGGGTGCCCGGGTGCCCTTCGTGAGCAAGGGAAGCACTTGATCTCTCAGATTCCTAGGTACAACTATTCGATCCCCTCTCATCAGCACATTACCAACGCAACACAGTTCTCTGCCTATGATGCGGTATTCAATTGGTAGTTCAAATAAACGTCCACTGCTGAGAGCTTCACAAGCTTTTGATATTTCTTCGTCCTGGCCAGACGCACGGTCCATTTCTTCCCAACGGATAGCTGCCGTTGCAGCAGCTGCGCGTCCAACTTCGTTCACGAATAGTTCTTCTGCAACATCGAAAGGCACTGGTTTCAGCGAAGAAAACCTGGAAAGCGCATCTACTATGTTCTGTTCCCCTGATATATGCTTAACATTATACTGGAACCCTTGAAGTCGGAGAACCCATCTTTCTACTCGCGCACACGGTTTTGAACGAGGGGTAAAAAGGTACGTCAATGCCTTGCAATCCGTTATTAGATTAAATGGTTTCCCTAGGAGATACATTTGAAATCTTTCAACGCTCCAGACTAATGCCAACGCCTCTTTCTCTGTCTGGCAATATCTCCTCTCCGTCTCGGTCAATGACTTGGAAGCGAAGCAGATCACACGGTTTTCTCCTTGGTTGTTCGTCTGAATAAGAGCAGCTGCCAATGCCGTAGGACTTGCGTCGGCAATCACCGATGTAGTGTCCTTGCAGTTATAGTATCCCAAGTTTTTCTCTTTCGACATAGCTTGTTTGATGGTATCGAATGCGTGCTGTTGTTCCTGTGTCCATTGGAATTTCACCGTTTGATGCAACAATCTCCTGAGTGGTTCATCTACAGCAGCTAGGTTTGGTATGAATTTATTCAAGTAATTAGCCAAACCTAGGAAGCTCTTGACTTCGGCTACGTTTTTCGGTTGACGAAAAGACAGC